ATAAGTGATATACCAAGTTGACCACATAACTTGAAGAGCCTTCGTTCCATCTTAATACTCACCGCCGAAGTACACTCGTCCAAGATAGCAAAGGTAGGCCTGTGCCAGAATAGTCGTGCCATTGATAATCTCTGCTGCTCCCCTAGAGATAGCCGGGAATCCCAATCGATAACACCTACCAGGAACCTGCCTATCGCTAATGCAGTCCAAGGACATACTATTAAAGTCATTGAGATGAGATAGTTCAACCAGGCGTAGTAACGATACCAGCTGCCCCTCATCTGGTCTGTTGCTATCAGGATAACATATGTTATCGGAAAGAGTGCCCACAACACAATAGGGCTTCTGGGGTAGGTAGAATACATAGCTATGAAGGCCAACTCCTCCCCTACTACCAGGCCTAGTGATGGTACCTGATATATCAATTATAATCTTGTAGTCACTCGACTAAGCTCAACTTGCCACCACTTATAACTCTTCGTTGGCCTACCTCGCTTAATATCCCATAGACCACCCAAGCATCGGAAAATACTAGATTTCCCAGCACCATTCGGGCCACATATAATGACATTATCCCCTCTGCTGATACGGAGGTTGAGGTCCGTAACCTGGGCCAAAGTAAGTAGTGCCTCGCGAGAGAAGACTCCATTACTAGACGATGCCCCGTGGGAGTATCGATATCTACTCCCTCGAAAATGACCTCAGCCGCTTCGGCGTCAGCACTGAACCTCCTCCGAGTTGCCTCGGCCTTAGCTTTGGATGAGGTTAATGCCTTCCGATCCTCCATCTCTATGACCTATGGTCTAATATAACCAACAATAGCATCATCATCATCACTACTACCAGCCTCCCACAACGATCCACCAAGCCTGCCAGTCGAGCTAGTGTCCCTGCTAGTCTAGCGAATTGGGCACATGCTACCAGTTCCATGAGGAGCATGTCCGTCAGATATCTGAGAACGGATATAACGGAAATAATAGCAAGGTGATAGAACGTCTCGAGTGTACTGACCTTATCTGATATAGCATATCCCCTTTAGATTTCCCTGCCCTACTCTGTTTGAAGAAGGGTATAAGGATAAGGTACATGGCTAGAGTGAACGTACAGTAGCGTGCAACGTATCTGAGAGCACAATGCCAAGCTAATAACCATCCTATCGCCTACTCCTGCAACACGTTCGATATGAAGTTATCATGACGTATCTTATCCAAGTATGCCAAAAGCCTTTTCAATGCATTCTGGAGCACTTCACTCTCATATGGCCTATAAGGAGGTGGGATATCACTAGGTACAATCCT